AAGGTCTGCAAAGAGCTATGTAAGTACAAGTTTAGCAACTATCGAACTCATCAGAACTCACGGAAGAGATCATGGTCCCTCGCGACTGCGTGCTCGACCACTCTGAGGTTATGACTGCGCTGAGAGGGTATTCCGCGCCGATACCTGAACTGATCATTAGTTCTGGGCCTTGGGAACGGAGCAAGTATGCTGGAGGGCAGGCTGACCTATACCCATGACGAAGCGCCACTTTATGATCCAATCGAGTCAGTTTAATCTATTGAAACAGAGGGAAAGAACCTAGAAGAGAAACGAACCCATATAAAAAGTCCTAGGAAGCTCATGTCGTCGAAGCCATAGCTGCTGGTTGCCACTCCGATTGTGGACACGATAACGAGAACGAGCTCGATACCATAGAGACGGGTCCGGCCGTAGAAGTCAGCCAAGAAACCGAAAAGAAGCTGCCCGATGACAGAGCCCAGGAGAGTGAAGAAGTTGATGAGCAAGCCTTGCCATCTTGAGCCGTGTGATGGCCAGTATACGAAGGCAATGGAGGCGAGAATGACATTGGTAGAAAAGAGATTGTATCTGAGTGTAAAGGACGTCAAAATGAGGACAAAGTGAGAGTTGTCTGCGACATCAGTGAGGTGACATACGAGTCTGTCAGAAAGCCAGAAGCTGCCACGCCCCAGATGCGGAGATTCCATGAGTTGAGGTCAAGTTCATATCGCAGCTGGCGTCGATCCTGGGGGACGAGTTAGTAGCGGTCCAGGTCCGTTCAGAGTACCGAAGGGGAAGCGGAGGTGAACGGACGGCGTACCTGATCATCGCGGGGGGGCAAGGCGGAGCTATTACTGCCCAAAAAGCCGCGATTCCTCCTCGCCAGAGGATCGGGCAGAGCCGACATGGCTCAGTAACAGGCTACGTCGGGTCACTCTGATGCTTGGAGAGAGATGAAATGTTGCTTCGCGGAAATGGGTAAGTTAACTATGCGTACAGATCGGCAACAGGGGAGAGACGCAGGATCGGCGGGGCCTATGGACATTGAATGCGCTGCGCGAAAGGCGACCAATACAGAGAGGAACAAAGTAATAAGGGCAGGTGTTTGGTTGCAGTGCGGAACGACGTAGAGAAGGGGGGGAGAGAGGAGGTGAAAGTCAGGCGAAATGGGCAAATGGGTCGCTCTACCTTACCGGGGCAGACCCGTTTCGCTCGAGGTTGACGGGCGGGAGTTTTATAGGTACCTACCTAAGTAAGGTACGGAGACTGTATTCGTACCTCCACTACCTACCTTAAGGGAAGGTAGGTAGATAGGCAAGGTACGTGGGCAGAAGGGTGGAAGGTTGGAGCTGCGATGAGAGGGCGATGAAAACAATGCAGACGGAATGACAATGGGGATTTTGAGAAACCTGCAGACGGATAGTAAAGAAAAAACCAAACGAAAAAGGCTTACAATGGTTGATTATCTTACCTTGACTGAGTGCATCGCATCGCACATCTACACCCAGGTAACGCAGGTACTTACACTACCCGATCTGACCTTAGGTACGGAGGATCCGGAGGCGTGGGCAGCCTCAGATGCAATTGCAGATGGCGACCTGGCTCGCGCGCACCAGTCGTAATGCACAGTTCTGCAGCCTGAGCCATGGTCGAGGAAAAGAGTGCATGGATGGCGGCAAGGTCCAGCGAACTGGCAAGGAGCAGCGAGAGAAACGCAGCACCAGTCGCTGGCGCATGCCGCCCCTATGAGCCTTGTCATTGGCCGTCCCGACTACGCGGTTGGGCTTCCTTTCCCGGGTGGACGTGCCATGATAGGACACTAGACGACGCTGGATGGGATGAGCTCCCCACGAGGGCCTCTCTCCCCCAAGAACTTAAGTGTGAGCGCAACTGAGCTGCGCCGACTTGCCTTAGACCCAAGGTACCTACCTAGGTAGTAAAGTAAAGAAAGCATGGAGGCTGAAGCCATGGTATCAGGCGGCAGCTGTGAGAGAGAGTACTGCATAATATACACCACGCTGTGAAGTGCGGGCACGCACACTACCTTTCCTACCTACCTTCAGGTTACTTTTTTTCCTACCTACCTACACTACCTAGGTACCCACCTTCAGGCACCTTAGGTCCCGCTGAAAGGACTCTCCCGACCTTGCGACCCCGCTCCGTTGGCCTGGTCCCCTTTCTCGGTATCGGGGCCAAGAACCCACGACACATCCACCTGCCAGACCCCGTCCGCCGACTTGTCGCCGACCATCCCTCCTCCTCATCTTCAGCTCAGGGACGCTCTGCATGTCAAACTCCTTGCCATGCCACGCCGGAATGCTGACGAGTAGCGAAGCCCGTTGCATCTACAACTCGAACGTCCCAGCGATCTGTATCGCGCACCAGGCTCAATGACATTCTGATTTCCGACGCACCCTTATCCGACGCGACGCCGTTTGAATGTCTTTCTCCCCAACCCTCCGCACTCCAAAGACACCGCCAGCTCGACCTGGGCCCTGACGACTGCGACAACATAGACGAAGCGACAAAGACGACGACGAAGGCCATTGCAGCAATAAGAGGAAATCGAATTGAGATCGTCAACACCATGTCATGACTGCGCTCCCTGCCCTTTGCAGACCATCTTGATTTGTTGACCAGCACTGGACCTCTGAGTCTATAGGCCAAACCCTCTCAAGCATGGCCGCCTCGTCCTCCAGCTCTTCTTTTACTTCTTCCTCTCTTGGCCGCCCGCCCTCCTACGCCCAACCATACGCAAGCCCGCTTGACTCAACTTGGACCCCGACGTCCGGAGCTTCAACCATCTCAGCTCTCACCTCCGAAGCCTCGGCCCCTCACGCCTCCCTCCGTCCGCTAGATCTTGGTCCCCCGGGCTATCAAGCGACCATGTACGATCTCGCTCCCTGTGCCCTTTTGCTCCCTCCTTCTCGCTGCAGTCTCCACAGGCTCGGTTCCCTTTCACTCCCCTCTCTGACATCGCACGAACTCTTAGAACCCTCTTTGAAAATACTCCCAACGAGCGCACTGTCTACTTAGGCCCTTGGGAGGTGGTTGGCTCCGAGCAGCGCCGCGTTCTGTGGCAGTGCAGCTACCAGAGCGAGCTTCTTGAACACTTCCGTACTTCATCTCCGCCTATCCTCTCTCTCGTGCTTACACTTAGAGTCTGACCGTCTTCTAGTCCCGTCCGATGTTCCCGCCGATGTCTTTCCACATACCCTTCACTCCCGCCATCGGCCGTACACAGACCCATGCGAACTTGAGCTGTACGTCAGCTTCCGTGAGCCACACCGCGTAAGGTATACGACAGGCGAGGGCATGGTCATGCATGACCATTTAATGGAAGTCAAGTACGAGTTTACTACCGTCGAGAGCTCTCTGCGATTCCAAGGAGATGTCCGCCGAAAAGACCTAGTCGACTACTACGACATTGATGTGGTATGGTCCGACGTGCATGGACGAACAGACGGCTTTGGCAATATAAGGGGCATGGGGTTGGTGCAGAGACTAAAGCTGTGGAGAGACCGCTACTCTACCTATCACTCACTGACCGTGTTCGCCAACCGCGCCGGAGGCCGTCAGCATCGGGAATACGAGATACACAATTTTGAAGGCGAACTGCGCAATCGCGACGATCGGCATCGCCAGGTTCGTCTGACGGTCCGCGGTAGCCGGCGCAGCAGTGCGCCGGATAGTGGCTCGTCACGTTCCCGGTTCGCCTTCTCACATCGCATGCGGCCCCGTGTCCGTTCGGGTTCGCAGGGCGGAGGCTCCAACTCGGAAGTAAGCTCATCGCCAGGCACCCTAGACATGCGCTACTTGGGTATTCAGTTCAGCAAACGTGAAGGTATGTCTCACTCCACCGTGCTGCCTACAAATTCAGAAAAACGATGAGAGAATGGGCTGTTGAAGCAGACTGGAGCGCTGACGGCCACGCGACAGACTATCGCAGATTTCTCGAGAAATGGGTCATGGCGCACAGCTCCGACAGCGAATTCCATGGCATACCCTTTCCACCGCACCACGTTGAGCTGCCGTCTCCCCAAATCCTCCCAGGAGAGATGTCGGAACTGCCGTCACCTGACATAGGTAGTGGGCTTCAGCCGGTTGTCGAGCCACCAGACTCTTACGAGTCGGACTCGACTCCTTGAACGGTGCAACGCACAGTCTCTGTAAAACCAAGAGGTCTTGACTGGGTAGATTGCCAACATCACGATACCCAGAAGGGCTTGGAGGGCTGGCTGTGGGTAGTGGTGCCACGGAATAACCGTGTGTGTGCGTGGTGGAGTGGTATGTGCATGGAATGCATGGCTGGCGAGAGCTGCCTGCTGGGTCCCTCGTGGCCAGATAAGGTCAGAGCATGGGCAGGCTTCCAGGTTGACAGCTTTGACAGACCCACCAGGAAACCTTGAAGCCCACCCGCCAGAGTACTGGACAGGGAATAGGGCGAGGGACGGCGCGGGGTTCTGGCGGCTCCATCAGTGTCCTCCTCACTGCCATTGGACGCTAGGTAATTTCAGCCGAGAGTGGGGGTGCTGTCAACGGCCCGTATCGACGTCACCATACCCAGTACCAAGGTCCCGTCTGGTGCCTTGCCTGACTGGTGACTGCACCTCACTTCTCAAGCCACCTCATGTATGGCCGTGGAAAATCAGGTAGCATTGGTCTGGTCGACTCAACGGATGGTGCCGACCCAAAGCACCTGGCTACCTGCCCAGCCGCACTTTCTGCTCTCTGCACCACCCCTCGTCCAACCTCCAAACCATCCCACTGCCGAACATCGACTGATCGACCTCGTCGCAAGGTTACCTCAGTCAACGACTGCTTCCTTGCCTCAATCGTTGGCTCGTCAGCAGCGTCGGTCCGAAAGTCGAAATCCTACCCCGGAGACAAGAACGTCGCCGCAGTCGCAGGTATAAAACCAAATTGGCAAGCAGCTTGGCTACTGGGAACTAAGACAAATCCTTTCTTCGAACAAGTTGCCCCGAACTCCAAGTCGCCATACACAGTCGGCGTTTTCCGTTATGAAGATTATCCTGGCCATCAACGCGGGATCTAGCTCCGTCAAGATCTCCGTCTACGCGGCTGAGCCTAAACAGCCACCCCGCCAGCTCGCAGAGACATCAGTCAGCGGCCTCACGGCCCCACCCGCTCAGATTTCCTATACGTGTGCCGATGTCGAGGTCAAGAAAGACGAAAAGCTCCAGGACAAGGTTGCCACCCAGGACGACGCCTTCAAAGTCCTTCTGAAGACGCTCATAGACGACCCGGAGCTGTCTCAAATCAAGGGAAAAGACGACATTGCTCTGACTTGCCATCGCATCGTACATGGCGGCGATTATCCTTGCTCGCAGGTAATAACCTCGGACACGTACCATCATTTGGAGGAGCTCAGCGACCTTGCCCCCCTTCATAACGGCCCAGCTCTCAAGATTGTCAATTCCTGCGTGGAGCAGCTGCCTGATGCTATCAACGTCGCCTGCTTCGATACCCAATTCCACTCATCGATTCCGGAACACGTTCGGACCTATCCCATCAACCAAGAAATCGCCAAGAAGAACCATCTGAGAAAATACGGCTTCCACGGCATTAGCTACTCCTTCATCACGCGATCCGTGTCTGAATTTCTCGGCAAAGATCCCAAAGATATCAACATCATTGCTTTGCACCTGGGAAGCGGAGCAAGTGCCTGCGCCATTCGCAATGGCCAAAGCTGGGATACCAGCATGGGCCTCACCCCTGTTGCCGGCTTACCGGGGGCGACAAGAAGCGGTAACGTAGACCCCAGGTCAGTGCCTATCTTCCTCAAATGCCCCGGCCTGTGAACTAGTGTCTGACTTAGACGCACTTAGTCTGGTCTTCCACTATGCGAGCGATGTTGGAAAGTTATCTCCCAACTCAACATCGGAACTACATCTTACAGAGGCCGAGGAGATCCTCAACAAGCAAGCCGGGTGGAAGTCGCTCACAGGAACTACCAATTTCGGTACCATAGCAACCTCCGACGAGCCTACCCACAAGCTCGCTTTCGACATCTTTATTGATAGGGTGTGTGGCTTCATCGGCTCATACTTCGTCACTCTTGGCGGTCAGGTCGACGCTCTCGTCTTTGCTGGCGGCATCGGTGAGAAAAGCGATAAGTTGAGGAGAGAGGTCGTTGACCAGTGTGCCTGCTTGGGCTTCACGATTGACGCCGAGTTGAACGAGAAGAAGATTGAATCCACTGTGCAAGAAGTCGGAAAGCCGGACGGTAGGTCACGTACCTTGGTTTGCAAAACAGACGAGCAATTGGAGATGGCGAGGTTGTGCACCGAGAAGAGTGAGCTTTGGTCTTGACTCACGATTTGGCGTTCGCACAAGATGTCGATTCTATTCCCGCCCCAAGTCGACAGCCAGCTAGCAAACGCGAGTGCAGTAGAGGGCAGGGGGCAGAGGAGTAGCTGTCGTGGAAAACACGAAGAAACCTCGTGATGGCTTAGCTCGCACCAGCTGATCTGAGTCAAATTGTCTCCCAGCCGGGTTATGGGGTGGGATTTGTTTGACGGGGTAGACGTACGAGATAGACGAAAGCGTGAGAAGAAAGAAAAAGAAGAAGAAACATGCAACCTGAGCCACTTCCACAATTTTCCACGCCGTGCTCACTCTTCCCGCCCCACCACCATCCTCGCGAGATCACCGATCTTCAACTCTCACCTGGGTGCCTGGCCCGTGATGACCGCTCGGAACATGAGAAACGAGTGGGAGACGGACTGAGCGGCCTACCAACGACAGGCGATCGATGACATTCCAGTCGATGCCCATGGGTTTCCCATGTGTTCCTGAGCAACGCCAGTCAGTCATTCCAGCGCATGGCAAACAGAGTTAGTGCCAGTGTGAGACATCCAGCTCGGTACCTACGTTCCAATACTCAACCAACGGTTCCCCCCTTCCCCCACGCCTTTTCTTTTTCTTCTTCTTGTTGCTTCCCCCCCGTTCCTCGGCCCGAGTGTGCATCTCGATGCGTTCAAAGGTAGAAGTACCGACGCAGACTGCCCGCTGTCTGTTAAACTACCTCAAGTTTGTCCAGTGGGTGCGTCCGCCAATTCATGTTCGTGCATGTGGGCACTCCAGGCGAATGTCTTCCGCGTAGGGCGGAATGCGTTACGATGATGAACATCATCTCGATGCTTGTGACTCCAACCCAAACCGGTGATACGGATATAGACAATGTCGCTTTCGCTGACGTGCGACATGGGCACAGGCAGGCAATATGCTGAAGATTTGTAGTGCATCTTTCTTCAGAAGTAGTCCCCATAGGTGAGAAATCGCACAGTATGATCACAATAGACAGTGAGCATGCTTGATAAAAACTTTTTTTACTTTTTCATATCCGCTTGTGAGCCCCGTCAACCAGGCCTAGATGGCGAACTGGCCCGCGGATGGACATTGTGGCTGGTGCCCTCGACATGTCGTCGATGAAAGCGCAACAGATCTCTCCAGATTCCATCCTCCAGGGATCTTTTCGCAATGAAAAGAGACTCGCCTTCAACACATTGCTGCTAAGCCAGTGTGCACCTGCCTCAACCACCCTAAACCCTTCCTCCCATGAGAACTAATGCCCCACCAAAAATTTCCTTCGTACACGAGTTGACTCCCTTGGGGGTCCTTCTCTCCGCCAAAGCGAAGAATCGCAGATGTGTCTGCCTTCAGCTACTCATAAATCGAGGATCTGGGTATGTGTGCGAAGCCACAAGAACGCCAACCAAGAACAAAGTCCGTCCAAGAGCTTACCATCTCATGAAACAATTCCCACCAAACGCCATCGTTTTTGTTGCCGTTCCCACCGCGTGTATGTGCAGGTGCGCCGTTCGTATGCTTCGCGACCTCTATCCGATATCCCATGAACAGTCGATATAATGAAATAAGAGAAATGTACGGAAAATGAGGTGTATTTCCTGAGTTGAAAGAAAGTCCGTATTGTATGCCTTCCGTAGGCGCAACCTTTGCTTCGTGAATCGTGTTGAACAAGCAGTGACAGGGACCGAGTCAAAGATTCGTGGATATTAAAGAGTCGAAACTGGCCAACGCCAAGTGTGATCACTCCCAAAAAACCAAGGCAGCAACCAACTAAGCGCCCTCCTGGCAAGCTACCGCCATGGCGAGGGCATCCAGCCCACTGCTGGGGGTTCTAGTTGCAGTAGGGCGGCTGAGAAGAGGCAGGTTCAAGCCGCGCATATCCCAGGCGCCATTAGCACCAGGGGAAGGCAAAGGAGCTTGGCCAGGAGGATATCCATATGACTCGGTGTCCCACATGGGTTGATCGCGGGAGGAACGACTGCCGACATTTCTGGAAGACGAGGACGAAGAGCGACGACTGGAAGCCGAAAGGGCGCCGAGTGATGAGCGCGCAGCAGCCTTGGCCGCCGAAGCCGAAGTACGCGACTTGTCTTTATAGTGAGTCTCCAAATGTTGTTTCATGTTGTCCGCCCTAGTGAATTTCTTTGAACAGCCGTGAAAAGTGCATTGAACCGCCTTTTCAGCGGTGTGGATCTTGGAATGCCTGGAGGCGTGTCCGGAGGTGGTAAATGTCTTCTCACAGCCGTGAGAATCGCGATAGCGACACGGGTACCTCTTGCCCGGACGTTCAGGCATCGGCGACGTCGCTGAGCTTTCGTCCTCGTATGAATTTGCGCGGCTGTTGTTGGCGTAAGCAGGACGCTTTTCGAACTCGTCGTACATTGTCTGGCCGGAAGCGAAGGCACTGGCTCGCGCAAGGTCGTAAGAGGTCGGCGTCAGAGGGGACATGGGGTCGCTACTGGCGTTCGAGTCGTAGGAATCTGACCGGAGAAGCTCTGGGGTATGGGGCGACGAAGAGTTGCTGCGCGGCGCAGGGTGGAAAGGCTGTGAGATGATGCGATTCGCAGTGCGACAGCTTAGGCGCTGAGGGGCACTTGACGGCTCATCGTTGAGAAGGGAGACCTGGCGGCCGGTTGCGTCTCGAACATGCATTTTGGATCAATTTGTGATCATACACCGGTGGGAAAGGGAAGACGTTGTTTGGCGTTGTGCTGGACAAGATGGACTGTGGGCGGGAGAGGCGACGATGATGTTCACGACGATGCCAACAATAGTCGACCAAACAGTTGACGATTGAAGATTTGTCCTGGATGGCAGATGACAGCTGAGTATAGGTTGAGTGGAATTGGTCGATGTTTTGAACGGTGTTGAGGACGTAGGCTGGCAGACGCAGGGCATAGTGGGAAATGAGGCGCAGGCTGAGTATTATACCAAGCAGCAGTTCCTTTGGAGAGAGGAAGCTCGGAAGGTCAGCGGGTTGGGGGGGGTGGGCCGAAGCGAGGTGTCTGGCACAGCGTCCAAGGGCCGGTCGGCATGGATGGGATGTGAGGTATGGGTAGAATAGAAAGTAGGCGTGGTGGATGGAAAAGGGTGGTGGGTAATGGAGTGGGAGTTGTTTTGGAGGAGGGGGGGGATTTTGGGCATGGGCATGGGCATGGGCATGGGAAAGGAGAATTGCGCACCTTGGGTCGCTCCGGGAAGCCGCCAAAGGTACGTGGGCTGAGGTACCCGACCTGAGATGCACTCGTAGCTGTCCAAGGTTCGACGCCATTAAGGTACTTTGAACCTTGATACGGTGAAAAAAAGGTGCAAAGGCAAGGATGACAGGGATTGGGGAACATTGGGACCACTGGAAGGAGGGTCCGGCCAAGGCGTCTCTTCTGCAAAGCGCCCCCCTGGACCCCGCTGACCCCTCCCCCTGCCCACATTTCCACACCACGACCTCACTCTCACTTCACTCTCACGACACTGTGGGCGACGTCCTGCTTCTTAATCGCACCCCTGGTTCCAACACCCATTCCCTGCAGGGTAGCTCCCCGACTTCTCGCGACGGGCGGCTACGTACCCCGGGGTGGGGAAGAGTTGGCTTGGGGCCTGGACTTGAGCACTAGTCAGAGTACTTCACATATTATCTTATTATTATTATTATTATTTTGGCCAGAAATAAAGCTCTTTTTTTTTTTTTTTTTCCCCCTCCCTGATTTCTCCTCCCATCGGTTGTGGCCTTGCTTCGTTCGCAGCATGGGAAAAGAGAGGAGAGGCATGTACGCACGAGCAAAACCTCGCCGCACATCAGCACTATTCTAGATCTCTTGATACAAACAATTCATCGCGCACAGCAGAGAAAGAGAGAGGAAAGCTGGTGGAGGAAGGGAGCTGCGGAATGAGGGCTTGGACTTAAACCCAGAATATGATACTGGGCGGGCCGTTTGAGAGGCTCCCAAGTTCTCTCGCTCCTGGTAATCCGTTTTGTGTCTCAACTGGTCCCCGTCTTCCGGGTTTCCTTGGGTACCACAGTAGCCAGCTCATCGCGATCTGTGTGTTCCAAGGCCAAGCAAGGTCCGATTGCTCTTCGGTACGTATTCATCTCCGTCTCTACAAACTCCCCCGAGCTATACCTAGCTACCTACCTTACTTACCTCACGCTGGGTATTGCACGCAGCCTGGCAACACTAACATGGACCGCTCCCGGATACCGCCCGTCCTGCTGCTGCGTGCCTGGCACCCCTGGTCGTTCTATTCAGTTCTGGCCCGGCCCTTCGTCGATTTCGATGTCGGATTGCGCATCCATCTGCCTACTTTCTTGCTTTCTTGCCAGCTTTACTTGCTTGGTTGATGGCCGTCACTTGCTTCTTTTGGCCATATCTCCACCACTCTGAAGAGGTCGGAAACCCTCTGTCTTCTTCCTGCGAGCGTCTTACTGCGTAGGAGCTGAAGCTCCGAAATCAAGCCACCCGTGCCACGCGACCACATTTCGACTCAAACATTGTCAACTCGCTGGCTGGCTGCCTTTCGTTCTGACGGGCCCGCGGTGTTCCGATTCTGCCAGATGCCAAATCCCAGTCTCACTGCCCTCAGCCTCTTCTGCCCGCCCTAGACTTCAATATCAGCTTTCGTAGGCACAAATAAACAGCCATGCCCGTTCAAAGTCACATTGTCATGCTTCAGCTTGGCTTTGCAGCTACCAAGCATATCACTGGGCCCTGAGTCCAGCCCTTTTCGACGCTATTTTCAGGGTCTCTGCGAACGCTTCCCGAGTGCTTGGGACAATCTTGACAGCCCCAAAAGAGATCTTCCATAGCGCATGCCGTACTTGTCGCAGAGGCAAGCCGAAATCTAACCGATGTGTATCTCTCAACCTTTGGGCGTTCTTTGCTGTGGATCGACCCGCACATTGTCGGCCTTGGGAGAGACAGGTGTTGCGCGTCCGGCTGTCGGTATCGAGGGAACAGACGTAGATCGCGATCGTACAAGGTGAGGGTAGGGGGAAAAAAAAAAAA